TGCTCGGTGTGTGTGACGCCCACCCAGACATTAACCCACCCTATAATATAACGCTTTGCCCCTATTATCACGCTCGATATCACTGTGGTCACACCTACCGTTGCACTGGCTCGACACTTTTCTCCGTCTCCTCCTTTTGTGTCGTAGTCTTGTTTTTCACTCTCGGTGAGCTGGTTTCTAGCTCGCTATCGTGCCATAGCGTTTCATACGTAGACTTTAATTACAACCTGGAGCTATATAAGCAACCTACCAACACAAGGAAAGCCTTACCTCAACAGCAAAGCTGCCATACAAATAAAAAATGTGAAAACACACAACCACATGCACCTCTTGTACTAGCAAGGATATGTCATTACACAACAAATGACTGTAGGCAACGCAGATCCGTGTGAAATGTCACACTTCGCAAACGTGCGCCTTTATCAATATAGGAAAGCTGACACTGGACACCAGCAGCACCGACACCTCATCCATCAAAACTCACACACACACACAGATTCACAAGCTCCAGGTGTTATCAGTCTATCGTAATGTGGCTCTACAGATGGTCGTGTGTGAGCCGGTGAACCCTGAGGAGTCCTGAACAGAGCGGAGTTGTGTTGTAGAATCAGCAGTGACCTTTCTTTGAGATGTAAAGTCTCATCCAGCTGAATTATGGCCGGTCTCATAATGTCCTCGTGTGTTTCAAAGCTGTACAGTAGCGGTGTAACAGACCAATCGGTTGGTTTGGTTTTAGTCGACGAAGTTATTCGAGAGTGAATTAAGATCCGATCCTTGACTCAACACCCTGATCCGATCCGTGACTTTTGTGACCCCCCCCCTACTATACTGTAGTCCTGAATCCTGCCAGATCTTTTTTTAGAACCCTTCTGCAGGAAACCCAGTTCATCTTCGAGACCATCTCACACGTTCAAACAGGCTTCAATCCCAAGATGACTCAGTTTCCATAAATAACAGACCTGAAAGCAAAGGGTAACTTTAGCACAATATGTCTGCGTTGTATTTCATCCTCAGAGAGGGGCAATAAAAACACAGACTCCACATGGTGTCACTAGTTAATTTCATCCTGCTTACAGTAGTCTGAAAATAACACATCCACCAATGTTGCCAACTATAGCAAGCAACCAACATTTTGTTGGAAAAAAAAGGTTGGATTCCAGAGCAACGTAAAATGAGACGGTGCTGCCAAATGGCAATCTATCTGTCCTCTACCATGTGGTAAAACTCAGCTTTCTCTCCAAACCCGGGGGTTTGGTTCGGATCCAACTGGCCAATCTGAGCCTCTCCCCTGGGAATTTCCTTTGATTCTTATCCTGACGTCTGACATCAACGCCGGGCATCAAACCCAAATACCTCCCGACCCGGCTCTCTCTCTCCTGCAGTCCGTCCTGTCTGCCAAGTCACACAAGGACTTCCTCCACCTCATCAGCTCAGTGTTATTGAAGCAAAACCCATCCCTCACACACGCTTCCAGTTTGTTATGCCTGTGATTTGTTCCAGATTTGTGAACAAGAACAATTCTTGACAATATATTTAATGCAGCGGTCCCTTTTTGTGCTGTGTAGCGGTGTAAAGGTTCTTAAAACTCACGGTTCCGATCAGCACTAAATATGAAAGGGAGCAAGCATAAGTTTTAGAGATCCCTAATACTAATTATTGATGATCCATATTAACAGAGACAGATCCCTTTGTTGTGTGATTACAGCAGCTGGTCTACAAGGATCCAGAATATTATATATTTTTTGCCACCGTCCCAAAAATCATTTCAACGCTCTGAAGTCAGTAAACCATCAAAACTACTAAATGTTATTCTTTTACTTTGTTATAGTAATTCATAGTGTTTTTTTCTTCATAAAAACACAATTCAAATGATAAGAAAATATAAGACTGTATTTCTATTGATTAAAATAAATCTTGTATGTATTATAAGATGTTTAGAGGTATTGTAAACGGCTCACAATTCATCTCTAATATCTATTTATGCTGTGAAAACACTCTCTTAAACAACTGGATTTATTAAAGTTTATCACCAAAACTATATTTTTCGATGATTACATGTGAACACATCCTTCCACTAGTGCCTAGAACCCAGACTTTTCTTTTTTTAATATTTCTTTGGGAGTAAAAGCTGATATGTACAGAAATCCAGAAAACTGTAGAACTAGTTCTCCAAGTGTTGACTCGATGCCTGAGGTGAACGGATCCGTACTGACCCACACTGCCTGAACATAAAAGCCAATAAAATAATGAGTCTATTTCAAAGTATTGTCTTATTCTAAAAATACACAACAAAGGGGTCATAGTTTCCACTCAGTCTATCGAAGTTATAGCACGTCAACAAAGTGGTTTGTTACAAAGTCGTGTCTCTTATTAAACAGAACTCCTGTAAAATGTAATTAAAGTAACAAACTAGGAGCACTTTCAAAGGCTGCTGTTAATGTTTCATAGCAGCAGCACGTGGCTTACAGAGAAGGAGCGATATATACAGTATGTGTGTATATATATACTGTATATATCCCTACACAATGTGGCACACGACAAACGATGAACTCCGCCATGAGCTCCGGGGTTTTTAGGTTGAGAGTTGTCAGTCTCTGTTCCTCTATGTAACCTGAGGAGACACTTCTGGCAGAAGCGTGACCTTTGGTTAATAGCAGGGCTGCTGGTTTTTACGGTGTAATTGTCGAATTTAAAGGGGAGAGGGATGGCGTGTGCGTTCTAATTGCTTCACAGTTGGAAGCTGATTGTTTTTTAGCAGCGTATTCAAGTCTGAGTTTATTTTCTATCTTTGTCGCATCTCTTTCTCAGTAACTGAGTAAAGAAATTGAGAATATCAGAATGTGGTACATCAATCTCTCTTGCCATGTGTAAGATTTTCTACAACAACAAACTCATAATTATTTTACAGTACGTCAATTGTAAACGATCAGCTGATTCCACTCGTCCAGCCGCGGCCTCTCATTTATTATCCCACAGTGCAATATTCTACATATTATATCCGGTACCCGACCATCATTTCTCCTGTTGTCTGTTTGCTTCAGCTACATGTGGTGCCACTCAAATCACATCCAGAGCATCACCAAAATATTTACCTGTAATGTTCTGCCTCCTCCTCTACACTCTCAGCTCTGGAAGCACAGAATTAACAAGTCACCACATTTACGTCGACAGATATGCAGCACTGTAGCATCCACGAGCAGGAATCGGATCCAATACACATGCAGTGGAAATAGCCTGAGCAATGCAAGAACCAAGCTTTACTGCTCTGTAGCCAAACCCGAGTCTAAAAGCAGCTCAGCAACACCGCTAACCATCTGCTTTAGATGCAGCTCGCATTGTCCAACACGGTGACGGTAATATTAGAAACCTCTACATAGAATCTCTCTGCCTCAGTAAATATTGAGAGTGAAACGTCTACAACCCTGCAAGCAGCGCAGTGGTGCTTTGAACTAAATGCTAAAGTCAGCAATGCTAACGTGGATGTTTAGCAGGTGTAATGTTTCCTATCTTAGTTTAGCAAGTTAGCATGCTAATATTTGCTAATTAGCAAGGCTAATCACGAAACCAAAGCATTGGATAACAAAGGTCTGGAGGGGAAAGTTTATATTCTCCATGAATGTCTGCAATCCGTCCAAAAATATTAGAACATTACTGAAGTCATTAGGATTCATTCACAATCAACATTAAAGTTTGGTGCCGATCCATCTTGTAGAGATTATTTCACTGAATAAGTGAAAAGTTGACAGTAGAGGAAAAAGTTATTAAACTTCATCCTGAGGAGGACATGAATATCTGGAGCAACTTCAATATCAGTCCATCTAATACGTTATGAAATAATTCACCCTGAACCACAAACTTCACGGTGGCACTAGTGAAAAGGTCCGGGGATTTATTCTCTGGAAATCATGAATATCTTTGCAAAATAATTTAATGATCGTCCATTAAATAGTTGTAGAGATATTTCCGTCTGGACCGACCGTCATAGCCGTCTCCAGAGCCGTGTCGCATGTTTAAAACAAAGAGAAGAGAAGAAAACAGAAATCTCGCGTGAAAGGAGATTATGTTTTCGGTTGTATTTGTCAGCGGCGTTACGGGAAGCTTGGAGGAAGCGTGAAGCATCGGCGAAGGAAGAACCAGCAACATTTTTAGAGCGGATGGTCCTCGGTGGTCTGCGCTCTCCGAGTGCGGGATAAAGATGTTAGCCATGTGATCGCAACCTCTCTGGTCCAAGTCTGGTCGTGGACTGTCCGTCCCATCATTCTGTCTCTCTATTCTATTTCTTTCTTTATTGGTTTATTTGATAAGGGATGGTGCACATTAATAAAAACATTATTATAAATGCACCAGAGTTAGCCAAGAGGCTATTTATCATCTGTAGTCCCAGCGCAGAAGTTACAAAGTTAACCTAAAAACAGAATATATTATTCTGTATACAGAATACATAGAATGATAATATAACTCTCTCTCTACTTATTTATTGTCTACTGTATCCTTTCCTGATAAAGATGCTGTAATGAAAAATAAATGAAATAAAGTGAGATAAAAATCCATGCACGAGAGGCTTGTCCACGTCAAGACATCTGAAATAAACCAAACGGGACCGGTGAAAACAAAGCCGTTCAATGCTCCTCTAATAACTCGTGACATCCTACCTGATCCCCATAGAGCTCACACAAAGGTGCTTTGTCCATGCAGTCCGATGTTACACAGAAACAATACGAGCCATCCAGAACAAAGCCACGCAGATCTGTTTACAGCCACAGACAGAAAGCAGCCAACACGATGCCACATTGACACCGACAGAAAGAAAGCCAGGGGGAATGCTTTTGTTCTGAAAATCAGGGTTCGGGATTTCCCCCCTCGTGTTAACTCTTTCACTGAGACACTATCATTTCCACCAGACCTCATACGGGCCTCCCAGCCTGTCTCCCTCCCAGCCTGTCTCCCTCCCAGCCTGGTGGCTGACCCGCCCTCTGGCCACAGACAGACAGGGTACTCACAGCTTTGGTTTAGGCTTGGTGGGCAGCGGAGGACCGTCCTTCCCTGGGGATGGAGGGGAGTCTGGTGGCCTTTGAGCTGTGACTGTGACATCTGTTGCAACGTCAGACTGTGGCAGAGGTGGTGGTGGAGGTGGGGGTGTGGTCGCTTTAGGCGGACTCGGTGGTGATGCTGGATTTGGTGGTCGGCCGTTCTGCACAGACCCTCTTCCCTCATCCTCCTCTACCTCTGAGCACATCTGTACCGGAGACACACTGGGCCAGATCTCGAGCTCCTTGATGACGAAAGCGCCGGGCGGAGGCAGCATCATCTTGGGTGGCAGCTCCAGGAGGCTGATCTCTGTGGGCGGGGGGGGAGGAGGGGGGAAGGCGGCCACATCCTCGAACCCGGAGCTATCAGCAGACATGCCATTACTGGATGAGTCCTCGGCTGCTGGGAGAAACAAACAAAGAAGAAAAGTGGAAAATGTTTGACTTTAATGTTTAGTTTTTCTTCCACATACCTCAGTAGATACAGATCACACACACACACACACACACACACACACACACACACACACACACACACACACACACA